GTCCAAACTTAACTACAAAGGCTACGTCCAACAATACCATTTTCACATTGTCTCGGTAAATACGACTTCAGGAGATGGTTAGTTTAGCATAAACACTGGCGTCTCGACAGGACTGCAGACTGTCTCAGAGCGACACCTTTACCCACTACAACCACAACTTGTCGTTTTTACGCTTGGGTTTTTGTTTAGATTAATCAAACATGTGATGTGCGTGCTGGTATGTGTGTTGTTTAACATTTTGACAGAGCCAGGCTAGCTGTTAGCTAAGCTAAGCTAACTGACTCTTGCCTGCAGCTTCATATTCATCGAACAGGTACGAGTTTGTCAATGATTCGATGACTCGATCCTTTTCAAGTCCACCATTGCCACACTGGCACTGCAGCTGGCCCATGACAGCAACTTATTGAGGAAATGAAAATGTGGTGAACCGAAATCCTCAACAGCCTGGCCTCCTGCCACCCAACATTCACTTCTCCTATTCTGTCACAAAGAGGAAGTCTCGGCAGAGGACAGACAAGGGGAATCAAACATCCGCATTATACATCCCACCTCTCCTCCATGATCCACCAATTTAGAACAAATCAGTTGCCATCTTTGTGTGGCTTGTTGTAGCGTAAAGACTACTATACAAATGCCCAGGTGGCCCTCTGCGGCCTAATAACACTGTTTTATATGAGTATTCTATGTACTACGGTTAAAATACATTAGACTATGTCTCAGCGCTGTGAGCAACCTTTTAGTCACTTACAGTTTATCAGCCTTCATAGCTACAGTCACAGCAGACATATGATGTGTCTTGTTTGGGTGTGTTTGAAAAGGGACTGTTTGGCCTCTTCATCACCTCTGTCACTCAACTCTTACTCTCATTTGATACCAGTGTCTCATACTGCAAAACTCCAAGCCCTGTTCCTGATTGTAACAAAACAAAGGACGCCAGGACCTCCAATACACTGAAATACATCTGAAACACTAGCCTCAACGTGAACACTGCTATAGGCTCACAGTTTCACCCCCCACTCATGAGCAAGTTCATATTTTTGTCTTTTTCAAACAAAAAGACGGCTCAATTAATAAACCAAATGGGCATGTAAAATCAGATTAGACCTAATTAAACCCCCCACTTCTTGCTGTTTGCCATTTTTACAGACTGGCAGAGTGACAGGGAGTTTAAGCATCCGTGTAGATGAAGGGGAAGTGGGAAGGACAGCTCCATATGCGTTACGTCAGCCCGGGGGGACAGCTGGGTCCGACTGTCTTTTCCTGCCACACTCATTTGGCCCCAACAATCATCCTGTCTTGTGCTAAAGGTCTCTCGTCGCTACAAGGCTCCTTGGCACTATCTGGGAGCTACAGACGAAGAATATGCTGATTAAACATGCCTTCATTAAAGCGATTACATGCACAAGGGGGTTCAATTTCCCACGGGCAGCCAGATAACGATGAGGGGGAAGAAGTATAAAAAGGCTTTTGGAGCAGGGATGGGATTTCGGTTCATGGAGGAGAGGAGGGGGTGAACGAGGGATTGACGACGGCTGCTTGTTAGCGTTAATCTAAGTGACCCACACACTCTTTAAGGACTAACAGTCTTCTGACTTAATATGCTGCTGTGTGAGCTGTCCTCTGCTCGCGGGGACAGCCAGCTCTTTTGCCCCGACGAACACCCCTACCTGACTCACCACACCTACAGGCCGCTTCCAGTTCACCGAGCTTCCAGAGTGGAAGACCTTGCCAAAGACGCAGGAGCGACGTTACTTCTGGTTCATTAAATAAAGCCGGGCAGTGCTTTAGTGCCTGAACAAGCTGCGGAGGTTGTGGTGGGAGGCGAGATGCAAAGAAGGGAATTAAAGTCGTGATGAAGGCCAAACGAGCATCAGCAGCTTTCAGGCGTTCCTCAGTTGTGTCCTTTTCTGACTAAAGTTTTGTTTATGAAGTGAGTGAAGGACAAACAAGGTTTTATTTGATGAATGAGTATTCACAGAAGCCAAATCAATTATTTGAGCAATTACAGACAACCCTACTTTTATGTGTCCAAATCACTATTTTGATTGAACTTAATGATTTTGCAATTGACCTCACTCTGTGGTTGAACCAGCTCGGTCAGCAGTCCTGGCTGGTTCCACATCATTGAATTCTCAGTAAAAAACTACATTTGGGAAGCATGATTCATAACTGAAAGAGACCAGATGTGTTGTTGACATTTAGACTTTCTGATAAATGACACACTTGTAAAGTACAATGTGACATATTCAATTATTTCCTATCATGTATGCTAATGTGGACTTCTACCTCACACAGCCAGCAGTCATCATGTGATGTGCTAACAGCCAATGAGAACAGAAAAGTGTCTTTATGTGGCTCCGCCACAGGCGCCGTCAGTACCACCGGAGGTGTTTGCACCGATACGCTTCTCTGCCGCTTTCATGTTTCTCATGTTTCTGCTGCTACTTTTGTTCTTTATTGCCCTACTGTCGACCTGAATCACACCGGCGCTCAAAGGAAGTGACAGAATTGCATGTATGAGGTGTTTGAACTGTGCGCCTGTGAACTCTGGTGCAGAGCCGCATGAAATGATGTGCATGCGAGCAAGAAATTGTTCAGAGCCTCAGAGCCAATTAAGGGTCTCAAGTAGGAAAGTCTCACGTAAATAACAATATACATATATATACATATATATATACATATATACTGTATATACATATATATATATATATATATATATATATATATATATATATATATAGTAGAGTTTAATTTCTGCACATTTAGCAACGATAAGCAAAAAAACACTTGGATATCTTCCTCACTCAATCTGATTTAGGGTTCGAAATTCTCAGTTACATATTGAGACAAAAATAGAAGAGCTGTCTGACAATATATTAATCTTATGAAATATTTCTAAGAATCTTCCTCCTATTCATGATCTAATCTAACAAACTACATGCGATAAGCGGTCATAGCTTTGTGATTATAACCTTTGGTGAAGTGGATGAGGTCACTCTGAAACTGGAACTGACCACTGGGTGATACTTCACTCTGTTTCCCTGACACTACTTCTGTTTCTCTGTTTCCCCTGATGTTTCTCCTCACTCACACCGGCACATCGGACCGCTGATTCAGTGGGAGGAGCTCGGCTCAAACTGACCGCCGTGTAACAGCTGGCCAAACTGCAACGCCTGATTCCAACACACTGAGGGAGTGCACAGGATGCGGTTGATGTTGCTTCAGATAACCTAAAGAATTGTCCTAATCCCGTCGATGTCACAGATAAACGCAGCAGGTCTGGTGAGGGCTGACCGGTACACCTGATTTCTCACTTCAGGTAAGGTGAGTATTGGTGCAAAATGTGATTGAAAAGGTTCAAAGGTCAACCTGGTCTTATTACATTAAGGAAACCCAATTTAAAAAGAAGAGTTTAACCTGTTTAACCTCATATTCAATATTGAATTAGACTGTTACAGGCCAGGTATCCATCACATACACATTAAAGTACTGCTCAGCCTGTGAACACACTTGTATAATCTCTGAATCAGAGCAGAATAACCCAGGTGATGTCATCAGGGTTGTTTTTCATCATCTATGTACAAATTGAGTTTGTTAGAAGTTCATTTGGAAGGCACGGGGGGGTCTAAAGAGAGATGCTGTTATATTAAATATGGGAAAAGTAGGATCCTGTGTTTCTTGAACTTGACTTGTAAAAGTCTGAATATCTCTTAATCCACCGTTTGTGCGTCCCCTAAACTTATACTGCAATATCAAAATGCTGGGGTGCCCCTTCACAGCCCAGACTACAGACAATAACTCAATAGAAGAAACCGTAAAATGTTCGTTAAATTCCACGACAGCAATCACACCGTGAGTCCAAAAATCAAGAGATCACCTCATTTACCCCACATGTCCTCGCTGACATCTCTCGTGTCAAGTGTGCACTTTACAGCAGACTGTGAAAATAATATAGTTACGATTTGACTGTTTTACCCACAGTGCAATTTTGTGATACTCCCATTATCTTCAAACTGTTCAATGTTACATGTGAAGTGAGAAAATAATGACTTTACTATTCCATTAATTTAATTTCGAAACAACTAAGAATAGCCTCATCTTATCTAAAGTTAATGTATTCGAAAAAAATATGCTTTAAAAGGTGCTCGATAAAAAAGGTAAGGTGCTGCCATGATGACAAAAACACAGAAACACACATACGTGACCTGAGGATAGGTGGCAAGTCGAACTAGACGATAAGAACGTGCGTGGGCGCATTGCCCTCTGGGAAGTGATTCAGAGGTCATTACCATACAGAGAAGACAAAGACGTCTTTCTATCAAACAGGTGTTCAGTCCAGGGGACATGTCTTTACTCTAACACAGCCTACCTTAGTCATTTGTTTACGCTCCCTTGATTCCTATTCAGTGCAGTGCACTTAATATAAACAGTGAAGAGAAGAAATACCCACTGGCTCGAGTCCGCTCCAATCACTATACTTCTAAATGTTTAATGACAGCAACAACTACTGTACTGCTACAATATTAATTAGAAGTACTGTTTAAGGTGAGCAACGCTGAACTCGTTGTATTAGTAGCCTATTAACTGTTTCCATCGCTGAGCAGTAGGCTACACTATAAGGCCTTTTTAAACTCTTTAAATGTTGTTGTTTTTTATTACATGAGTTCTGTCTGATAGCCTGAGCATATGCCTTCCTTTGCCAGTCAGACATTATCCTTCATGCATTTTTGAAGACAACACGCCCAACAGTTTACGACACCTACCCGTCCTCTCCCTGCCTGCAGGGTGAAGGCAGGCAGCACTGCGCGTCCTCCGCCTCCCACGTCCCGGAGCGCTGGACCCGCGCCAACATGGGATTGGCTTCCCGCTCCTGTCAGGGAGGAACTGGTGCGCCAGGATACCCAAATATGGACTGTCAGATATCAGCCTGGACCGCATATGACTCAGCACCGGACTATATATCCGTACCGCTGGGGTTTGTTGTTTAGAGTGAAAGGCAAAGCGGTGGTTGGGAGTGTGTTTTATGTGCCCCAATAGGTCCAGTTGAATAAGGCTCCCTGTGTATGTGTGTGGCTTTGAGCTGTGAGACACGTTCAGACCGACTTGTTCATAAACAGTAAGGAGTGTGGATGTGCCCTTGCATCTATTTTATGCGCGTTCACCTGGGTTGAGTCCCCCCCCCCACGCCGGACAGACCTCGTCTGTTTACGGTCCTTGATCCTGGCAACGACGTCAGCAAGTGTGTCTGACTTCCCGGAGGCGGGGACCACAGAGGAAACAACCAATCAGCAGGCTGGCTGGAGCGCATGAGGAGCCGGATGATATAAGAACAGCGGAGCGCGACGGCCGCTTGTCATTACAGAGGAAACAGACGAAAAGCTCAGTTTGAGAGCAGAAAAGACTCCGACACGCGCGTGGAATCAAAACATCCGAATTAGTCACTGGACTCCGCTTTGAATTCAACTAAAGGCACAAATCGACGACTTGGTACAGTACAGTTCCACTATTTTGGAAGTTTTGCTTTGTTTTTGATAGCTTTGGTCTTCAGTATAATAATACAGCGGGACTTTGTGCTGGAGATTGAATCAATTGGGACACTAAAGCCTCGGTGTCCACGCAGCATCTTTGCAGCGCACTCTTGTATTTGACTTGTATTTTGAAATATGTCCACAATAATGGAACAGCCTTTTTATGACGACTCGTTTCTCTCTGCTTATGGCCATCCAGGCGCAGCCCTGCCAGACTACAAGCTGCTTAAGCAGAATATGAACTTGAACTTCCCCGATTCATATCGGCACTCTAACTTCAAGCCACAGCACCTGCGCGCCGATAGCGATTTCTATTCGGCCGGGACGGCGGACGTGGGCTCACTGAAGCTCGCCTCTCCGGAACTGGAGCGACTGATCATCCAGAACAGCAACGGGGTCATCACTACAACGCCTACGCCTGCCCAGTACCTCTACAACCGCGGGATCACAGAGGAGCAGGAAGGCTTCGCTGACGGTTTCGTTAAAGCGCTGGACGACCTGCACAAGATGAACCAGATGGCTCCTCCGAACGTGTCCATCGGCGGCATTGCCTGTGGCGTCGCTGGCGGGGTCGTCTGCTCGGGTCCAGCCACCGTGTTCGGCTCATCCATGCAGCAAGACGCGCTCGAGTACACCACCCTGAGCAGCTGCAACACGAACCCCGGTCTGTCATCCGCGGCCAGCTATCCCTCCACCACCATCAGCTACCTGCCGCACCACCAGTACCACCAGCATCCCCAGGCCATTGCGCACGGATCTCACCACTTCCAGCACTCCCTGGCCGGCGCGGGCATCCACTCGCAGCGGTACGGCGGGTTGAAAGAGGAGCCTCAGACGGTTCCAGACATGCTAAGCAGCGACGGGTCTCCCCCGATGTCCCCCATCGATATGGAGAACCAGGACCGCATGAAAACGGAGCGCAAGCGGCTGAGGAACCGGCTCGCAGCCTCAAAGTGTCGGAGGCGCAAATTGGAGCGCATCTCGCGTCTGGAGGACAAGGTGAAAGTGCTGAAAACGGACAACGCCGGACTGTCAGACACGGCGTCCGTGCTGCGGGAGCAGGTGGCCCAACTCAAACAGAAAGTCATGACGCACGTGAGCAGTGGCTGCCAGCTCATGTTGGCGCCCAAAGTGAAGTCTTATTGAGGAAACCATGCACTTTAAAAAAAACACTGGACACGAACTGCACTGACAACACAATGAACATTGACTTTATACATTGTCTGTCCGGGAGAACTGGACCAATGTGGTTTCTGCTGAAAGAGGCGCAGCAGGAACCACACAAGACTAAAACACTTAGGGCATTTTTGAATAAGTTTTTAAAAGTGTCGTCTTGGCTTTGCCTGTTTACATTTTACTTTAATTGCGATCTGTGATACATTCTTCTGTAAGTTATTCGTGTTCGTCAGGCTGAGCCTGATGAGCCTGTGTTTTTTACTTGTACAGTATATATTTAAGTAAATGAAATTATGAAACTAAGACATACGTGTTGTTTCTTATTGAGGTTATTTAAAACCGTCACATCTTAGGGTGATTACGGTAATTCTCGTTAGCGTGACCACAATGTTTTCGATCTGTTGTCAGCAGTTAAGTTTTGCTCGACGTTAGACGTCCCAGCGTAGGATTGTTTCACAATTGACGTACATACGTCAGTCCATATATGGTCACTTTTGCTGTCAAACGTCACACAATGAAAAGGTTTCCGGGAACTCCCTCCTACATTACCCGTCAGAAGCACTGCGCTCTCCCCTTGGCACCAGTGTGCGTGCGTGCGTAAATGAAGAGGCTTATTTCTGTTAAGGGAGTTTCCCCCTGCTTTCAATTTCCCAAAACAAGTCCGAGAACACCAGCTCAGAGAAAAATGGTTGATAAGTTCCAGACAAGCGGAACAGACTAAGAGTTTGAAATTACAAGAACTGGCGTCAACAAAAGCAGTTAGAAATACATGTTGGGACAGTAGAGGTCACCAATTACATGCAGCGTTCACACAGGAATTACCCAATAAATAAAACTACCCAAAATCAGGTTTATTTCATGTGAATGATGCAATCTAATGCGTTTAAGACGCGAGGCGGACCGGGTGTCTTCCAATGTTACTGCCTCAGAAGTACAGAAAACAAAGCGTCATTATTCTCCAGTGAGAATGTGGAGCTGTGACAGTCACGCAGGTCTGTTTACGCACATCCAACAATCCAATCTTTCCCAATCAGCTACAGCGCCATTTGGCAATGTCAGGTTGTTGAGCTGAGTCAAACTCAAACTCCAACATTAACCAACACTTCACCGCCTCGTGACGTACTCAGATCCTCAGCCAGGCACAGGGCCCGGGGCTGCTACACCAACTTAATCCCAAACATGTCTGTTAACATAATTCTTCCAAGTTGTTAAATCACGAACTGGTCGAGAAGACTCAGGAAGAACTACGGCACCCTCTAGAGGGCACACGTGGAACGACGTTCACATTGACAACACACTTAAGTCACAATTTATCCACTGTTTTTAATAAAGATGGTAGCAAATCATTCAGTTTACAGCAAGGAAAAATATTAACTTTTTTTTCTGAAAATGGAACAAAACAATATTTTCAGTGCTTGAGACTACGAGGTCGCCCCACCGATCGTACACTGGACGTACAAAGATAAAGACTCGCAACAAAAGATTTATCTAACAAGTTTGGACATTTTGTCAGGTTTAATACATTAGATTGGACGCCATTAGATACTGCTTCACAGGAACACCTCGTCTGAAGGCAAGTGCTGCGGTCAGGAAGTCAGCTAGAACACCTTCACTGCTTGGAGAAGAAGGCTTTGCTCTTTTGGATGTCGGGGATGATGGTGTCGCTGCCAGGTTTCCAGCCAGCAGGGCACACTGTGTGGGGAGGCAGTGGGAACAAAGTTCAGCACAATGTGTAGGGGACGGGGAACTCTACAAACCTGAGGACAAAGTACACGTGTGACGACGACCCCCCCCCCCCCCCCCCCTTTTCTAACTATTTTACATGCCAGCTGTGACATACAAAGTATCTAAAATTACACAAAAAACAATCTACGTGGCCGATTAAAGTGTGAATAAAAGAGGGAACAAAACAACACAGCATTTGCATGTAGTAAGAGAGGGTTTTATGAACTGAAGCCAAAGCAACAAACTGCCGCATCGACGGGGATTCCACTCACCCTCTCCATGTTTGTCAGTGTGCTTGAAGGCCTGGACCAGGCGCAGAGTCTCGTCCACAGAGCGACCCACGGGCAAGTCGTTGATCGTGATCTGCCTCAAGATGCCCTTGTCGTCAATCACAAACAGACCCCTGACGGGCACAAATGAAGGTTTAAGTATTTCCACAACAGACAGGTAACTGGAGCCATATTATTTATTTATTTATATATACATATACATACATACATACACACTCTTCAAAGCCAAGCTACATTGCAGAACGCAGGGTTATTATTGCCCCCAGTTTATTACTAGCTGGGGGCGTGCCAACCACCATCTGACATCAAGCTGCCACTGCACCACTACTGGCCTGTCACTTAAAATCAAAGGCAGTTTTTTTTTTTTTTTCTGACCTGTATGCAACGCCGTCGTCCTCCTTCAGCACGCCATAGTCTCTGGAGATGGTCTTGGTGAGGTCTGCCACAAGGGGGATCTTCATGTCACCCAGACCTCCCTGCTTCCTTGGTGTGTTGATCCTGTGGGGAATAAATACGATAGAAATGGCAAATCAGAAACCCCTTTATAGGCCATCAACCCAACAAGACAGTATTACTCTCACTTCTGATGTACTATACTTAGAGCACGTCAAAATCTAACTCGCATCAACAACCGTTGCAGAGACCGTTACCTCCGGACTTATCAAGGCGGTGCAGAGCAGCACAGCGACAGGAGATAAACTGCTGCTTCAGATCTGATAAAAACAGTTTCTCTGAGCAGAGTCAGAATACATACAATGATCTTAGTCATTTAATGGTATTAGTATTGACCCCATATTTGTGTTTCCTTACATAGTTCCTAGTGCACACTAATCTTAAAGTAGGCCACGGTCAGAAATAGTTAACACAAACCACAGCTTTGCCTCAAAGGAATGCTTGTGTTTCTTTGTGTTAATGTTTAGTATGATATTTGTGGAAAGACAGGCGTTGCTGTTGATCTGTTGTGACAAGAATAAAATACTTTCACAGTTCACCTGTGAAAATAACTGAAACAAAGGCAAAGAAATCTTTTGTGAAAGCCGCTCTGCTTACTCTACTCGCTGACACATGCCGGCTGCATGGATGATGTCGTTTACACTGCATACAATGAGGATTACGGTGAAACTCTTTTTCTCACCAGGCCAAGTGGCTGAAGTGAGAGTCTACGGAGCAGCCGATCACCTCACAGCCGATACTGCGGAATTCCTCCACCCTGTCGCTGAAAGCCACGATCTCGGTGGGACACACGAATGTGAAGTCCAGCGGGTAGAAGAAGAAGACCACATACTTCCCTGAAGAGCACAGGAGGAGATATAACCCGTATTAGATATGAAACAAAATGTAACAATGAAAGTGTAAATAACACCAAGTTACCTTTGTAGTCCGACAGCTGGACGTCCTTAAACTGTCCGTCCACTACAGCTGTGGCTTTGAAGCTTGGGGCAGGATGGCCAATCTTAGCATTTCCAGAGGACATGGTGACAAATGACTGGAGGGAGACACAAGCACACAGCGTTACCAGACAATTACTGCATCTCATAGACATGCTCAGATGACATCACCACTTAATAGAACTCCTGCCTGAGGCTTACAGACAGACGGGTTTCACAGCCCAGAGGCTTGTTCAGTTAGAGAAACAGTGTGAAGTCACGTGCAAGTCATGTTCCGAGGGAAACAACAGCCGATTAAGAAGCTTACGTAACCATGCTACGTAAAAAAATGAAATCAATCGAGGATAAACGTTTACATCTCGTAGACGTGATTTATAAAAAGGTGTAGGTGCGATTGTTTTTTAAAGTCAAGCTTTGATCTTTGCAATTATATTAAAGAAATGCAGGATGTAATTAGTTTACACACTAAACCCAGTATTGATCCAACCAGGCCTTCAACGCAGCCACGAGGTGGTTATCATTTTAAATAGCTACAGTTTGACGTTACAATGAACAATGTGTGCATATAAAGACAGCCCTCGTTAGGAGTCCAAACCAGACAAAAGCCAACTATCCTTCGTCACCTCACAGACACGATAGTAGTGAACGCTGGTCAAAGTTCAGCGCTGCAGGTCAAAGACTTACAATCTAAACTCGTGTTTTCAGAGCAAGAAATGCACTTTGAACAAAGCGAGGAGGCGCATCGAGGCGTCTCTCTCCTGCGGCACCGGGACAAAGAAAGAGACAGAAACAGGCCCACGCACTTAAAGAAGGAGGCGAGCGACTGACCCGCACCGCCTGGCTAGCTCAACATTAGCTCGATGTAGTGAACCGGGTTTCTTCGTCGCCTCTCTGTTCCGGGTCGAGCAGTCGTGCTGCTCCGGGGACGAGCCGAGCAGACGCGACGTGAACACCTGACAGTTCAGAGACGAACAAACTCACCTGTCTTTACGTGACGCCGAGGAGAAGTTAGCAGAGCGGAGGTCTGCTGCTGGCAGGGGGAGCGCTCTCAGGGAAGGGACGGGTTAGTGCAAGGAGGGGGCGGGGCCACTTTTGAGTTCTCTTCTTCTTCTGGTTTTACGGCGGTTGGAATCCATCTTCTTGGTGCATTACCGCCACCTTCTGCTCCGGAGTGTGGCTCAGACAATAAACTTACACTCTTTACCCCAAAACAAAACAACAACAGTTTTGAGTTCCCGGAAGTGAATGTATTTTATTTCAAAGTCAAGGTTGAGAGCAGAGCGTATATTCAGTGTTACTCTGAGGGCAGGTGAACCAAATCACTTGATTAGAAAGATATTAATTAATTGCAAACGTCCAATGGGGGAAACTGTATTAACTTATATGCTGTAAGACTTTTGAAGTAGGCATGCTTTACTTGAATACTTCCATGTTGTTCTACTTACTACTTTAGCTCCTCAACATTTTAGAGGGAAATACTTTTTTAACGCAACAGAAAATATTTTCTGTACATTTTACACACACACTCAAACCATTTTTCTCACCCTAAGATCCATTTAAAAGCTGTTCTAGAGCTTTTGCCCATGTCGCATGGTCCTCATCTGTATATTTAGTTTCTTCTGTTGACAATATACTTTTTATGATTCAATGAATTCTCATCTATGCTGACATAAGACTTGACAGACACATGTTTTGTTGTATTAAAAAAATACATGTTGTTTTACTTTGTCTCATCGCCACACATCATGAACACATTTATGAGGTCAGTCAATAGTTTTATTGACAAATGACAATGAAAAGTGAAACATAATACAGTTAATGATAAATGATGACTCATCATGCAGACCAGAATGAACACAAGAAAACTTCTCTGATCCCCTTAAAGAACACGTCGCAACAGCCCACCGTCTCACTGCTGGTCTCCTCAACCTCTGAAGAGCCATAAAGACGCATGATGTTAGTGGGAACAAAACTATAAACACAAGGAGACTGTGAGGGCTTTAGACATGTGACTAACCAGGCTGGATGTGTGCTGCTTTATCCTCATCATCCTCGGGCTTTACAGAGACATTTTCTGGATCAGTAAACACTGTTTCCTCATGACGAGTATTGGCCTCGAATGCAGCATTGCAAAGTTTAGAACTGTGGACGATGTTCTCCTGTGAGGAAGGCCGCTGAGGGACGTTTGGCTCAGCCTCCTTCATGTCAACCGTCAGGTTTTCAATGTTCATGTTTTGGCTGCTGTCTCCACAGAGATGAACGGATGCTCCAGCACTTTCAGGGGAATTATTCGCTCCTTTTTGTTCACCAGCAGCATCTTTTTTAAGAGGTCCACAAAGTGCCGCAGCTCCTTCCTCTCTGCCTTGTTTCTAAAAAGTATTGTCATCTGGAACAACAATAAATTTAAGTTAAAACATGTCTAATAATGTCTTGCATCTTGCATCAATTATAATAATTGATACGTACATCAAAAGAGACCACCTACCTCCTCCATGGCATCCAGAGAACGGTAGTGAAAACATCTGGTGTCTCTGAAATGATGCCCCGGCTTTCTGGCAAACTCTTCAGGAGACTACAAAGAAATTGTGTTTAAGTTACATAATTCATCTTTAGTGACAAACAGACAGACAGACAGACAGACAGACAGACATACCTTAAGTCTCCAGGTCTTCTGGTTATTGCTGCTCTGAATGCAAAAGAAGTGAGAGGTTGTTTGTCCACAGTGCATCAGATAATCGGGTGGCTGATCCAACATGTCCACAGTGAATTTCATCTGATCATATTCGTGGTCCCCGGGAAAAAGCGGGAAGCCCACAGCAAGTTCTGCAGCCACCAGACCGAGAGACCACATGTCTATTGACTCCGAGAAGAGCTGACCCAGAATGACCTCCGGAGCCCTGAGCAAAGAGATAAAGGAAAATTCTAAACTTCACGAATAAGATGTAAAACCTCACCTCTGTGTTACATATAAACCACAGACTTCTCCGGTTGGCCTCTGGACTGGAGTCACAAGATCACAGCATCTGTGCCATATGTTTTCTGTACTAACCTGTACCACAGAGTCTGCACACATATCCCTGGAGGAGCATCGGACACGAAGCGAGCCAGGCCAAAGTCAATGAGCTTGACTTGCAGCGGCTGCTGCCTGCGGTCTACGACCATTATGTTGTCAGGCTTTAAATCAGCATGCATGATTTCGAGGGCCTTGAGGTGGAGCAGAGCTGTGGTCAGCTGAAGAAACACACAAATATTTAGGTTCATTAGGTCAGAACGATATACATTATTAAGTATGGATTTTCCACAAAATTATACTTCTGAAAAAAGTAAAAATTCCACATACCTGATGTATAACTGGGCGTATCTCACATAAGGACAGAGCATAACGTCTCTGCTCCATGTATTCAGTCAGACTCAGGTCTAGGAGCTCAAACTCCAGACACACAAGCCCTCCATGGACGAACGAGCCATACCATCTCACCAGATTACATTTGTCTGGATCCAGAGTCTGCAGCTGTTGGAGAATTTTAATCTGTATAAAATATGAAAAGTTAGATTTTTACTGTTTACACCCGAAAGACAAACTACATAATAAATGTGAAAGATGGAATTGCTAAATATTTCAACATGCACATCCAGCTTCAGTTTTGATAAATAGACAGTTTGTGTTCGACCTCTTCCAGTGCTTGCTTGGTGAAAAGGGGCATGTCTTTAGTTATTTTGATGGCCACCCTCTTATCGGTTATAATGTGCGCACACTTGGCCACTTTCCCAAAGGTGCCCTCCCCGAGAAAGGCCTGCACCTCGTAGCAGGAAGCCAGCAGGGTTCCCTCGTGTATCGGGAAGTAGTCTGTGGAGGAGGAGAGCAAAGATGAGGAGATGAAACAACATTACACGTTGTCTGTTTATACATCTGCATAAGACCAAGACACACATGGAGGGTTTCCAGGCTGCCACACTGCCAGCGCTGCACTGATTTCTAATGCAGGATAACGTTTTGGATTTGTTTTCATTTTTTTTGCCTGAATGCATTCCTGCATATATTAAGTTACATAGAATAAGTTACATCAAACCATTCGAGATGCTCATGCTTTTGGAGAAACATTACGATTTGTCTGTACTGGCAGAGAAATAAAAAAGCAAAGCTTTATTAAATTATTTCAGTTACTGTTCTTCGTTTCATTTTTTTTAAACACAGTGGATTAAATGTCTAAACATGTTTCAGCACACTTTTGTTCAAAATAAAGCACTAATCTTGTACAACAAGGAACAAAATATCAGTAGAGATAGTCAATTAATATAAACATTATTCCAACATTATTTGTATCAGACCATGTTATATGCATATTCATTTAGATGTTATCACATTGATCGTCTGAAAGATGTACTCAATTACAACAGTTAAGATCCAAAAAAGGATATTTATTCTATACTGATATTACTGGCTGATATTAATAAAAATAAAAAAACAGTGAAAAACTAAACTGTTTTCCAAACAATTCATTTTTTCCAATGAGAAAAATGTAGATCATCAATTGTTTAAAGGCACAATCATTATTTCAAAACCACATAAGTATATATTCACATTCACAGTTGAAGAGTTTTCAGTCGTTTACAGCTACAATATATCTGACTTTTCTTTCCCGCTCTCAGCTCACCTGACATGTCAGTCATTGCCATGAATCATTTTGAAGCAGACTTGACGCCATTATTGATATAAAAACTAAAAGAGCGACAGAAACGTGTCTCAGCCTCAGTGTCTCAGCGTGGATGTGAGTCGAAGGACTGATCTGTTCTGGACTCTGCTTTCCTCTCTATGATTCCATGACATCATTGTGTTCTATTCCCTTGTCAGTTCTGTCACAATCATTTTTTAAAAATTAATTTTTATTAAACTATATTCATCCCGGTAAGGGGGAAATTTGTCTCTGCATTTGACCCATCCCTGTATATAGGGAGCAGTGGGCTGCCCATGCTACATGTTCATCATTTATCAGCATATATTTGGACGGGCTGAGGACAAACAGAAGTAAGAAACAGGGAGAAAGTAGTCTCCTATAAGTACTTTTCTTAAAGCTACCATTAAGAGGTGCATTACTTAAGCATTTCCATTAAGAAATTAAACACAAAACTCAAACTTCCTCGAATTTCAATTTAAAAACAAAGTTTGCTACAATTTAACTATAACAGTGGAATAAATCAATAAGAATAATTTTATGTTAAGATGAAGTAAAACAGTCACAATGGCCACTTTTCTGCATCAAGTAGTTTTTTATACTTTTTTCTAAATGTACTTTTACTTCAGTAACATTTTCAAAACACCACTTTTACTTGTAGCTAATGAAATATTTTTACAGTGTTGAATTACAGTTTGACTACTTCTTCCGACACAAGATGATCTTCTTTTGAGTGTCTGGAACAGATTAAATAAAAATAGATTAAAATCAAAATCAAGACATTGTTTGGTCATGTAGACCTTATAACTGGTACTATGCAAGTAACTTACTGTAAAAAAAATAATATAGTAAGTAACTGGCAGCCATTGACAAGTAAGTTACTGTATTTTCTTTTTAGAGTAACATACCCGACAATTACTGCCAGTTACTTACTGTGTGTGTTCAGGTAGGTTTTCTACAGCGTGAGTTTGTCTGACACTGTCAGTAGCCTCAGTAGCCAGTAATCAGTTCAGTCTTTATGGTCAGAATAATATCAGAATCGGTTTATTGCCAAGTACAATTGCACATACGAGTAATTTGGCTTGGTCTCACATTGTCTTGGAGCAGCGTGGCAAAAATAGACACATCACACAGACACATCCATTTGTAAAACTGAATAAAACATGAATATCACTTGGAAATAGAAACACGCAATAGCAGTAAAACTGTGTATTAATTAACAAACGCAAAAAGTAACAAGCGATAATAAATAATGAATAAATCAGGTAAGCAATGAATATGTTCACCAGTATTTTCACTTATTCAGTCAGAGGTCAAAACAAGCTTGTGTGCTTGCCCACTAAAACAAATCAAAAGTCCGGATCCTGATGTGATGGTGGATCTGACCACACCGTAGTATGGAACATAACGTTTTATGCCAGTTAGTCCTTATGCAATGGTGACATGAAATGAAAATTGTATTTATGATGATAGAGTGAGGAGTGTACAGGGAAAAGGTTGACACCTACTCCTAAATTGAATTCAAATATCTGGTCAGTTCATACCTATATAGGTGACTTTTCAGTGGGACAATAGTTACTAGTCCTTGACAAATAAAGTAGCAATATCACATGTTTAGAGTAATAATTGAACCCTTTGGCTTTCTCTGTAGATTGTCACAAAGTGTCACATTTGGTCCGCTCTGTTGGTATAACCTCAGTGCTTTTATTTTGAAAACATTCATCACCGGGAATGTGTGGACGCCTACTTCCGCTAAGCTTGTGGTCAGTGTCTGAAACAGATGTAACGTTACTGAGGCAATGCGTTCCACCTTTTAGGTAAATTAACCTTTATCTACATTTGATAAGTGTCGTTTGATTGCCAGTCTAGGGCGTACGGTGCGTAGCTATTCGCTGTTTTGCTTAAATTACGTTTAATTTGAGCTAGCATGCAGCTAACGTTAGCATTATTCCAGATCAAAACAAAGGGTGCAATAGCGATAACGTTCAGTTAGCTTTCAGTCCAAAGATGCTCAGCCACTTGAACGTTAACGGGAGCCTAGTCAGCGTTGCTCTACTAGAAGTTGTAATGCGAACGATGCAATTAGAAATAGAGACGATTCCCAACAACATTTCAAGTTGCAATCCACAGCTAACGTAAAATATGTATGTATAGGCAACAAGAAGTTGTCGCGATATTACGATCGTGTAACGTTGTAGTGAGCAACAGTTGGATTCTGAATCTAAAAAGGGTTATAGGTCTAACACGATATTCAAATAAGTAAACTATTTGACAAGTGTGTCTCCCTTTTTACGATTTGTTAGCGACATTTATTTTGACAGGTTACAGAGCTGCATAATCTGAAGTTTATCTCCATCCTGTCGCAGCCTGTGAAGTCATAACGTTACATTACGTTTCACATAAACTAAAAGTTTAATGACAGCTCAATGGAGAGTAATGAACCCCGAGCTGTGACGCGATGCAGAGGGGGCCACTTCTGCATCGCCCCTGGATGCAGCAATGAGTTTTATAGAGCCAAAAACGAAGGCAAGACTGTCCACTTTCACTCTTTGCCTTTTGCGCGGCACGTGGTGCTTCGTCGTTGGCTAGCTGCACTCAGACGAGGGACGACTCCCGTCCGGCGGGGCGCTCGGGTCTGTAGCGAGCACTTTGTGGACGAGGACTATGTCGGGGAGAGTGTGTTTGAGTCAGGGGTCCTGGTGGTTCGCCGTACCAATAAACTGAAGACCGAGGCCGCTCCCTCTGTGTTTGACTTTTCCTCTCAAAAGGTTGGGTGTGCAGGTCAGGACGTAACGTCAGCGGTGCGCCGTAAGAAAAGGGCCCGACGACACGCCCACCTGGCCGCGCAGAGGAAGGTACGTCACGGCCAGCAGGCTCAACAGCTCGTCTCTCTCACCGGGGAAGGACTCATAACAACCAACCGTACAATTCAAACTGAGCTTCTTCACCGTACAACCTTCGGACACTTTCATTTGGGCTTCACCTATTTGCTTGAATCAGGGTGCTCTACGCCTCACCTTCTGTAAACAGTCTGTCGGCAGTAACCCAAGCTGTCAAATTAAGTTCTGACATTGTGCTGTACATTAATGCTGCATCTTAAGTGCAAAAACAAATGATGTGGTATTGTTATCAAAAAAAAAACAAAAGCACCAATGTATTGCATTTTTGGATGCCCCATGTTACAAACAGACATTTAACAGCACTTAATATGGGGAAATAAAACAAAAACACCAGAAATGAATGTTTGTATCTTTTCTGTATGTTTTGACAAGAGAGCGAGAGAAAAGAGGCGGGATTAGAAGAGGGGAAGGGACAGAAAAATCCACGATCTGTACATTTTTGTCATGTCATCACAAGTAAAAGTACTTCATTTCTTTCCCCACCAGATTTATTAATTCAAATTCTTCTGCATTTGTGTACACAGGATCTGCAGAGATTCACCTCTCTCATCCTTCAAAAGAAACCCACGAAAATGTCAGCAGCCATGGATTCACCAGGTAGAGCCGCTGTTATGAACGAGCTACTAAACAATTCAACATACACGTTGTTACAAGAGCCTGAAGGTGCTTGCTTGTTCATTTAATTGCTCAACACCGGGATTAAACCTTGATCGTAGTATTATTTTGATTCTTAAACAATTTCTTTGTATTACTTTTAAGAAAACGTAACCCAGGACTTGTCTTATTCATGAAAACAGAAGTTCACATTTACAGTTCTATTACATTTCACCATATGCATGTAATTGTGCATATCTCTTTTTAAGACTCTGAAAGTTGATCTCGTTGAGTTCCACGCAGTGTGATACAGATGTGCTGCAGATTTACAATTTGGGAAATTGTATCTGGTATCTGATTGGTACTGGGTGTCAGCAGATAACCTCAATTAGGCGTCTGAATTTGTATAGAAAGATAAAAAGTTATATTGGTGCATCCCTACTGATAACAAACTCCCATCTGAACTTCCCAGCAGCAACAGCAACCCCAGTCATCTGTGAGGTCTGTGGAACGTTCTTTGAGACGCGACGAGGGCTCTCCAGCCACGCCCGCCTCCACCTCCGGCAGCTCGGTGTGACGTTGTCGGAGAGCAGCGGAGCTCCCATTGAACTGCTCTACCAGCTCATCCAGGAGAGAGGCGACTCCCTCCCCGATTTCAAAGCAGACTCTTCTGTGCCTGGGCCGACCCCTCTCAAAAAAGCATCCCAGCAGGAGTCCAGGACACCTTCAGCACCAGAGGACAGCGGTGACTCCGGCAAAGCAGGGAGTAGAGTCACGACAGCGCCACAAAAGATGGATCATCAGGGATCTCCAGCCAGACTAAAAGAGACACCAACCTCTCCCGCCCCCTCGTCCTCCTCTGGTCTGAGGCCGGTTGAGTGTAGAACAAGTGAGGGCAGCAGCTCGTCCTCAGAGCACAAAACCAAAACCAAGCCGCTGTGGGCGCCGCTGGAAACTGACGCCCCCATCACCTTAGGTACGAATGAATTCTAGATGTTTAAAGAAATATCGAAAGTAGTGAGGGGGGTAGCTGTATGTGCAAGACAGAGCTCAAAGTCAGTTAACATGACTGGGTTCCTTTCACTCATCATTGTTCTTCATTCTTGCAGCTTCAGACACCAAAAATGAGGTCCATGTGTGCCAGCTCTGTGGCTGCTGGTACGGGACACGCAAAGGCCTGTCGGGTCACGCTCGGGCACATCTGCGCCAGATCGGAATCCCCGACAGCGACATCAAGGGCAGCCCTATTCAGCTGCTTTACCAGATCATGGAGGAGGAGGACCTCAAGCCCATCAGCAGCGAGCAGCAGGAGGGAGCGAGCACCTCGAACAGTCCCTCCAGATCCTCCTCTAAGCGACCCTCCAATCGGTCCTCTCCTCCCGCGTCCCCACCCAGCAAGCGGCCTAAGTCGTCAGAGGACTTCACCTGTATTCTGTGCAGGGAGAAGTTTGAGAATCGTAAAGGGCTGGCCATCCATGCACGCGCTCACCTGCGTCAGATCGGAGTGGTCGACCTGCTGGGGAAAAGCTCTGCAATTGACGCCGTCCAAGAACTGGTCAGCAATGGCATGCTGGAAGCCGTACACCCTCCCAACATGAACAGTGCAACCAGCTCGTCGGCGGCCCCGTTTCCCTCCACGTCCCTCTCCTCAAGCCCTGTAAAGTACGCCCGGTCTCCTGTTAACAGGGCGCCAAAGGCTAAGAAAGGCTTTCGGCTAGCTGTGGACCCCCTTCATAGGAAGCCGAAGCCTGAACCTATGGAGATCGAGGTGTCCGTTCAACCGAAGGGATCCGGCACTATCGGCAACTCCCCCACACAGAAGTCACCTCCTGCTTCAAAGCCTCTGAATGCAGGTAAAGCAGAGAGCCATTCATCTGAATTAGTAGTTGTCAAATGGTGTTTGTTAGGTGCCATATCTCAGGAGCAGGCAATTAACCTCTTTTCAAAATGTATTACTTTGTTTGTGTGTGTACACCACAGTGTGGATTCATCCTCTTTATTTTCCCTTCCGCCAATCCACAGATGTACAATCCCCGCCAACAGTCCTTTGCGATTTCTGTGGGCAGCTGTTTGAGACCCGCAAAGCCCTGTCCTGCCACGCCCGCGCACATCTGCGCCAGCTCGGCCTCACCTGGTCAACCAGGACGTCGCCGATCGATCTCCTCAGAGAGGTGATGATGCGCGGTGAAGAAGGCAAGAAAGTGTCTGTGCTCGCTGGGTCATCGGGCAAAGCCACGTGGGCCCCTCAAGGCTCCAGACGGTCCCACGACCGCCTCCAGCCAGGGGAACCGGCCGCCAACCCCTCCACGGCGCCTCTTGATTACTCCATGAAGGAGAAACCCTCGTCTGGCAGGAGTGGGGCCTCACACACCGGTAATACATTAACACCGCTGTAAAGCAATAGCTGATTGTGTCGCCATTTTACAACCATGTTGTTATAAGATAGTGAGCCACACTGTTGTACTCGGTGACGTGTTTTTTTAAGATGCACTAGGGCGCCGAGTCAATCCTTAAACACGGTCCTGGTGACCAAATGTTTGTTGCAAATTTACGCAATTGTAACTTCTTCAAACTCTTCCTGGAACTCCCTGAGCTGGTGATACATGTCTACTCTGTCACTGGTGATGTAGACACTCACCCTCGTCTTCTTTGTGTCAGACGCGTCCTGTGAGCTTTGTGGCTTTGACTTTGAAAACCGCAAGGCCCTGGCCAGCCACGCGCGGGCTCACCTCCGCCAGCTGGGGATCACCGAATGGAAGGCGGACGGAGCGAGCTCGCCCATCGAGCTCCTCAGCGAGTTGATCCGCAGGGACCCAGTGAAGGTAGCGGCAATAACCCAACGCTATCGCATGGGAGACCTTTACATCAAGAAGGTGGGCTGTGCTCTAGAATGTGTGTTTTAATAATGTATTAAAGCAGTGTGGAGTCTGATCTCATGTACGTCCATGTTCTTTCAGTCCCAGAGAGGTGCTGCTTCGCCCCCTCTGTCCACAGACTCTGACTCTGTCGCCGGCAGCAGCCTGAAGTTTTCGGTGAGCAGGGAGAACTTGGGTGTGACTGCCGGCTCATCCAGACACTCAAACGGCCACGGACGGACTTTTGCAGCCCACGGCGACCCCGGCGTGCGCTCCTCAAGGGGTGAGAGACGGAAATAGCCAGATATACTGTAATCGATTTTTAAAAACAAACAAAAAAAACAAAACAAGTTTCTATTACCTTTCTCTGTGGTTTCAGGGGTCCACCCACCAAAACATGTCGCACGAGCAAGGGAAGAAAATCAGGACACCAATTCCCAGCAGCCATCGCGGTCAGGCAGCATCCCCGCGATGCTGCCAAAGCCCCCACTTACACCTCTGGTCAAACTGGTGGGCAAAGTCTACTCCCTCAAGTGCAGGTTGGTCTATGAAGTACAAAACAAAGAATCACGTTCCCCTCGTGTTCAGTGAACGACGGCGTTTAGAGTAATGGACCAATACATGATCAATCAACGCACACACGGTTAATACGTTCAACAACACAGATGCATAGCATACAAAGTTATATATATGAACACTAAATATTTCTATGCTGCCCAGCCATACTCTCGCCGTTAAATTGCATTTTCAAGACATTGTTCCTCATTTAAGGCAGTTGATGTCGTGCTGCCCTCCCTGTGCTTCTCTTCAGGTTCTGTGAGGAAGTGTTTCACGGACCTCTGTCGGTTCAGGAGCGGTGGATCACACACCTGCAGAAGCACATCCTGTCGCTGGGCTACAAAGGCAAAGCGTCTCCTCCGGCTGCACCGGTGGCGGCTCCGGCACTCGTCCATCCAGTCGCTGTCTAGTCCACAACGTCTCTCTGTAGTTCACGTTAAACACGGTCGTCTTTTTCGTACGTCAACACGAAGGCCTTACGTCTAACAAATGGTCAGTAAATGTTGATGTTCCCTTCTTTGTCCTAGAGAGGGCAAGCATGAGCCATATGAGGAAAGCAGCAGCACGTAATCCACTCAGGTCAAATCCACCGAATCCAGCGATCACAAGACTGATCACTGGATGTTTTGGGGTTAATATCCAAAACCGGTTCATCCCTCATTCTGATGTGCAGTGCGTTCCTCCTCCTGCTCTTACATCCTACCATTTGTGTAGATGGTTGTAAACGTGTTTGAATGTGATGTGTTCAATATTTGTCATTATTTAATGTCGGACACTGAAAGAACAATCCGGGTCAGTGATGTGTGTCCTCCTGAGTAGACTGCTGAGGCTGTCCGTGTACTTAATCTCCTTTTATATGTTTTTGAATCGAGTCTTGTTTTATACATTTATGTTTTAAGGGTTTTTACCATAAATCTGGATAGATTCTCTTTCTTTTTCTCATGAATGGAAACTCTTTTGAATAACAAAACACTGAGACAAGAAATAACAAAAAAAATGAACTTGTGACAACTTGGTTGGAAGAAAACTGTTCAGTGATGTAATCTCCTGAAGATCACAGCCTCAACCGTCTGTCTCCATTATTGACTCTTTCTTCAGGTACAACTCCAAATACTGTTGTTTTTCTGCTCTTCTTACGTATGCTTTTTAACACTTATATGAATTAAATTGTGTCTTGTATATAAAAACATGTTTTGTTGTTTTTCATTATTTATAATACACATCCTGCACTGACCAGCGCTCACTGTGAGACTCGCATAACACAGATGTGCATGTCAGCGGTGTCGACTATCATCCAATATGTCGATCAATATTCAGCTAAATTCTGCACACGTTCTCTCGTCTCCATTCACCCAATTGTATTTTTATATCCTCTCATCTACATTGCATCTTCCTTTTGCTGTGTCCGGTTTATGGGATCTCACAAAATATATATGTATTATTTTGGGTTATTTTATATGTTTATTGGAGGCTGTACGGCGGAGAGATGACAGGAAATGAGGCGATGTTGCTGTTCATGCTCACCGCCTTAAACCCAAGACCACATCGTTGTGTCTCAGACTCCCACCAGGACGTGACTCCCTCACATGGAGGAATGTGTGAAGAACTGTAAATGAGTTTGTTTTGGGCGTATTGTTCCACAGGCTTCCACGCCGATTGCTTTATTTCACACGGCGCCTGTTAAAAAAATGTTCCTTTGTTTACACACTCTGAAACATGGAGGCTTAATGTTCGTTCGCCGCCATGTTGCATCGTAACCGCATCATCTCCCCTTTGTTTGAACGACCTCCTGCTCACAGACGTAGAGAAGATTTCAGTTTCACGCAGCGTTGTAGTCGTAACGATGTGGAAATCATGAAGAGGAAAGCTGCACATTTAGCATCAGTTATGAGCTTTTCATGTTGCTCCTGTAAACTATGTTTCTGTCCTGTGCTCCTGTTCCTTCCATTTTAGGACAATATGTTGATAAATGTGTCTTGATGCCATCAGTGACTGTAAAAGTCAGTTTGGTGAAGATTTGACTTCTCAAAGTGTCTCTGAGCTGCTGTCCCTTGTGTCCATAATGTTGATCTGATTTCCTCCTCCTGTCTCTTTAGCCATCATTGTGTTGACAAAGGGTCGTCGATCGTACTACCTGTATGGCTTCTGCATCCGGTCCTCCATCCTTTATGGATCTTCGATGGAGCTCGAACGGTTTAAATTGGTAAACTGCACACAGCCACAAAGAACAATCTGTCTCCTGTGTCTGTCAAAACGTCGTATAGCTTTTACATCCTCAAAGGCTGCAGTATACACTTCAAAATGTATTATTTTGAAGTGTATACATCTGAAGTGTCGCACTCGAATCTCATCTCATTATTCAGAGAAGAAGAGAAGGTATATTTTATTCAAAAGGTGGACATCTTCGTGCACTTGTGAGTATATTGGACAGTTGCTGAATGGGCCCACTGTGCAGTGAAGTAAAGGAAACAGTCCACAGGAGAGGCTGTGAGGATGCTCTATAATCGCTTTCCATGCAGCATAACACCCGTCCTGTTTTCTGCTCTGTCTCCACCACAGACAGTATATGGTCTCCTCTAGCTCTGCTATATATTCACGTCACGGTGAGGATCTCTGGAGTCTCGTTCTTTGTAATTTACTACCACTGGGACCCGGGCAGGGTTTCGGTCTGCCTTCAGCCGCTGATGGAAAAATCTGATGTCCGCCCTTCTGCCGCTTCGCCAATCTCAGGGCATCGCATGAGCGAGTGATCCCACCTGACAGTAGAGTAGGCTGTTGCTCACATCTATTAACACCCGGGGGTTTAATCCCAGTCATAAGGGACTCGTAGCAGCTATTTCAAAGCTCTCATTGAAGTGAGAGCCCAAATTAGGTGCACATCTGTCTTCCAGGGCTGTGGGATTTGAAAGAGGTGGTGTAATAACTTTGGGTTTCTGACTGTGGTCCATTGGTTTTAAAACTGGAAGCTGGACAGTCTAGCACAATCATTCAATTCTTGTCTTTAAGTATTCTTATTAGCCTACTCTGGACCAGACAGCACGCATGAATGTGGACCAATAAGACTCACCAGGAAACTGAATTACATTAAAACAAAATGCTATAAACATTCCACTTAATTATGATTTAATTAAAATGACGCGAGGAGCCAAAGAAATTAACTTTACATTTCGAAATTGTCATCTCAAAAGGGTCTTGGGGGGGGGGGGGGGGACATGGATGTGTGATTGAACCATTGAGCAGCAGTCATTACCGTCTAACACAGGTGAGACTGATGGCAGCAGTCATTCGGACCGTCTAACAGAGACTGATGCCTGTCTTAATTACTGTGGCAGAGCCCTCGTTAATGTTATTGGTGCCAGCTGTGCATGTTCCTCTCCTGCTTCTCTGTTAAAAAGGTCTTTGATTTAGAAACAATAAAGCAACAGCAGCAGCAAATAACTGCATATTTAAAAACAAAAACAGCTAAATGTAGACGGAATTGTGCCCTAAAAAATCAACTCATGCTGTCCACTGGAGGGGAGTTTGAAACCATGATACTCTGGATTTATTACACACACTCTCTCTCTCGCTCTCTCACTCTCACTCTCTCTCACTCTCACACACACACACACACAAACACACACACACACACACAAACACACACACAGAGAGAAAACAGCCCAACAACATCTCTTTGTACAGGTGGTACAGGTGTTAAGTCATTGCTCCTCTTGTGGAGGAATTGCATTTTCAAAGCTCTAGTCTTGTATCCTTGTGTCATTGAATAATCGATCTCTTGTTAAATGCTAAACATGTATTTGTACATCATAATCCCTCTTTTTTTCTCTTCCTGTAAAGTGTAAAAATAGATTTGATGACTCATCTTGAACCCGGAGAGAGTTTACACATATTTGTCCAATCAAATGGTAAAAGCCCGTCATCATATAAAACTGTACTTGACCCTGAGTACAGCGAGCAGAGCAATATATCATAGTACTAGTAGTAACTATAATTACTAACACTGAGTTATCATACAGTGGTAACTGTAGAAGAGATTAGTAGCTACACTCCCATTTAAAACACGTTTACTTTGATTTACTTTGATCACGGCTCTCGCTGCTTTGATCAAAACCTAATGAAAGAAGTGTTGTTGTGTATTGACCAGATGACCTGAGTCACAGCAATACTGATAGCAGCAACATGTGGAAACACCTGGTACCTACTTTAAGCAGACATATTAATCATAGAGAATATCATGTCAAAGTTTATAACTTGTTTTTGTTATTTGAATGGAGGCAAAGCAGCGGATAAAAAGGGGAAAAGGTTTTCTCTCCATCTTGGAGTTTGACTCCGAGTCTGGAAGTGAATTCTTTCTGCATCTCCAGAGTAATTTATGTTTTCGGGTCTTGGCAGAAGATGGAGTTCTTTCGCACAATTTTTGACTTTGCAATCTTCCCTCAGAGAGAACCGATTCCCCAAGACTTTGCAACTCGAGCAGAGCATCTGTAGCTTTCCTTTCTGTTTTTCTAGTTGTTTTTAGTTTTGTGGTTTGACGTTTCTTTCTCTAGTTAGCTGCTGTTGGTGCTGCGCTACAGTCCAAGGATAGAAACTAAAACAGCTCAAACACAAAGGTGTTTTCAGCACATACACAATCACAATGCATGCAGCTATAACTGCACATTCGCTTTATTAACGAAACAATCAACCACCTTCTTGATCACGGTGCGATTTAGCGTTTCAGAGGTTATGATTATGTCATCAAAGTGCACTTGGCTGCTCTGGTCAGCAGTTTTGTAACATTCAGACTCCAGACAGACACTGGACACCAGAGACGAGCACAGAGCCTTACCCAGGAGGCCGTTCTGCTGCATGGTGTCATCGTGCTCAGATGACCTCGCATAACACCTGCGTCGAGGTCACCACAGATCCTGGATCAGTTGAACAGAGTCTGAAACCTATTTGAAAATAAGCAGCTAATAATTCAAGTGATTTACGGATGATTTATCTTACTGCCAAGATGCTTTCTGGAATAATCCAGTCCAGACCCGTGTTTGTGTATCACGTCTCAGCGATACAAGACGTTAACAACAAGTGAAAGTTGTGCAAACCTGGATTCCAAAACGTACGACACCAGCTCACCAACTGCTCACAACATTATTTATTTCAGCCCTGCTTTTAATTTCCTGGAGATTTACACGTGATAATTGTTTCATTGCTTTAAATAATCATTCCTCCCGCAGACAGACCGGACCATGAAAACATGCCCGCTGTAGAGACCCAGTGCAGCATTATGATGAACAAGCAGCAGCTCGGAGGCCGGGGTCTGCCTCTGTGGATCCAGAGCGACACTCACATCTGGCCTGTGTACGTACACGTTGTTGAGTGTGTAGCAGCCCATGTTTATGTGGATGTATAAGTGCCTCACTGTGTGTCCATAACTCAATAGGACATTAAGGAAAGTGTTAGGACAACATGTATAGGACCCCAGAGAGGAGAGACCATGTCTTTGGTTACTCTTCAGGGTTCTATCAGTCTATTTCGTAATGATGTGGCTTCACCTGCTCATTTTATTCAGATGTTCACTCCACACTAATTTGTCAGTAATGAATAGTGATTAAGATGGGGAGCACTAATGAACATTGAATGTGCAGCTGCAGAAACAAGCTCTCTATGTAATTGTTGGCAAACCGTTGTCTCTTTACACATCAAGCAGACATGGAGCAACATGAACATTAAGAGTTATGTGTGTAATATCAAGCTAATATTATGTTGAATATTCATATTGTTTTAGCTCTGGTTTTGGTCTCCACCAATTCCTTCGTGAAATATCTGGTTCTAGCTGCTAAACGCTTCACCTGCAAGTGGAGAAGGTTCTTTTGTGAGCTTTTCCTCTTAAAACAGCCAAAAACAAGGAAAGCAGCAAGCGAAGCAGAACAAGTTAAGAGAACCAAAGCAAATATGTGAAAGATGCCAAACAGCAGAGTTGTTTGTCACTACAAGCGACCTCTTTATTTGATCAATTGAAATGCAAATATATGAATTATAGAGTCACTTTAAGAATTACAATCTCCCCTGTAATAGGATTAATATGGGATCAGTAAACACATCACATCATTAGGGTTAGGGTTAGGCTCGTTTTCATCTGCAGGTTGATGGCATCAAAAGAAACACACAACAGGACAGAAGCTTAACCTCAGCGTCGTCAAAA